ATTTAAAAGTCCTGAAAGCTTTTTCCTTGGTTAATTACATTAGACGGTTTGCCTTTGATCAAATTCCTTCTTTTTTTTAAACATGGATAAAAGTATTACATGGGTCCACTGTTAAAACAGATATGTTGGAAATTAATTCTGGTATAATGTTTTCCAACAAAGCTTAGAAAATAAAGGTGTTGAGGTGGCTTTGGACTAAGTTTAACAGTCATCTCCTCTGCTGACAACTTCTTTGCATGTTGAACGCAACAGTATGGTATGTTCAAATTGAGCTGTATACGATCCTTTAATGTCACATAATGGTGGATATGGATCTACAATGCCCAAGTCACACAGATTCTTCAGAGCCATCAAGTACTTGCTTTCTCCCAAGCGATCCAGCCATGTGCGGCAGAAGGCAAGGGTGCCAAAGTTTTCATTGATGACATTTAACAAGTGTTTTGTTCTTGGAAGCCTTATTGGCGCATGTCCAACATCAAAATTTTTCATGTAATGTGAACATTCCATATCATTATGAACAACACCTTTTCCTGTACTACCAAAGGTTGCAATTGCATATACTTCCCCTTCCTCCATTCTTGTTGCCTCCCCTCCTTTCACAATCGGCACGGTTTTCCCAGCGTGTATTCTATATTGCCCAATTGAATGTCCATTTAGATTACGGATTGGTTTCACTTGATATGTCTTCCCATCTATTTCAACTTCGTAGGACTCCATAACTTCTTGGATGGCCTCACCAATATCACATAGACGAACATCATTTCCAGCACACTTTATTCCAGTGTTAGTAGCATCTTTTACAGCTTTTAATAATACATCATATTTGGGATTAAAAGTGATGGTAAAAGCACAGTCAATAATCCTACCACTTATATGTGTTCCAAAGTCTATTTTACAGATGTCATCATACTGTAATACTGTTGTGTCACCGGCATTGGGAGTATAATGGGCAGCACAATTATTGAGAGAACATCCAGTAGGAAATGCCAGGCCTGCATTTAATCCATTCTCTTTTATTAGCTTGTATGAACAGTCTTCCAACTCTTCACAGATTTCTATCATTGTCATCCCAGGCTTAATCCAGCTCATCACGTATTTTCTAGCTTGTCGATGTGCTTCTGCAGCTTCTCGAAAATCATTCCAAATCTCTTCACTGGCCTGATCTAATGCTTTCTTTTCTTCACTGGTAGTTCTCCAAGCAGCTGTTCGCCCATCTTGTGTGGGTGGGTATTCGCATTCTTGTCCTTTGGGAAATACACCATTAGGATACAGGTCACATATTGGAACTGAGGGAGGGTCTGTTTGAACTTTTGTTCCTTTCTTCTTCTTCTTCTTTTTCGTCGTCTTTCCAGTTGCTTCATATCCATCACCATCTCCATCTTCATCATCTTCATCTCTTTCTATCCTCCAATGCTTGTCTTTCCAACTGTCTTGCTATTTCATCCACTGAGGCTCCTGATTCTTTATCAGGTTCCTATTGCCCTGCTGCACCAGCCCCTTTGCTCTTCTTTTTCTTCCGTCTTTTTTTCTTGGCTGCTTCCTCAGCTGTAGAGGCAGCTCCCTCTTCCCTGTCGTCTGGATCCAGGTCACCATTCAGGTGGCTCCCGGAGGCCGGTGCCTCCTCCACACCCTCTATGTTGCCCGACAGAGCACGAGGGAATGAGACCAGCTTCCTTTTTTAATAATAGAAAGAAGCGGGGTGTGGTTGCAATGCCTCTGTTTTAGTTTCCTTAAACTTCCTTAATTTGTTTTTAAGACTTCATGGCAAATATATTTATATCTGCCTTGGCTTATTGTTGTTATTTGCCTCCAGTTCCTATTCCCATACTTTGATTCTTCTCGTTTCTTTTCCTCTTCTTCCTCCTCCCCCACTTTGAGTTATTAATTTATTTATAATTAACAATCAGTTATACTGTTAAGTCTGTTCCATGACAAGAGTTGACACTGTTAACGTCATAGTTACCCAAACATCAGTACCCTTACATGAACCTTTTAAATTTGTGGGCTGTGCATGTACTAGGCTATGTATAAGTAGTTCTGTATTTTTATATGTTAGAAAATTATCACTGAAGTTGAGAAGAATGAATGTAACTTTTGTTATGAGAATCATGTGTGATATAGCCACTGACTTTTCTGAATGTACTTTCTCATTTAGTTAGCATTATAGGTAATGACCTGATAGATAAATTAGAAAATTGAAGCACACCCTTTTACCAAAGTATATTTTATTTTAGTTTTTTTTTCTTTTAATGACAAACTTTACAAAGTAGTACTGTTTTCTCTGTGTTTTCTAAACATATTCAAATCTTTCCTTGTTGATTTAGGGCTCTCATTCTGAACCTCAGGTATAAAGTGCTGTTATGCAGAAATGTCTGCAAATCTGTTGACGAGGATAAGGTTGTTTGTCTTCCTTGTTCTCAGTCATAATTTTTCTAGTCATTTCAGTTTTTCTCTTTTAATTTGCATTCTATTATCAATTTATTAGAATTATTTAAAAATAAAAGTAACTGTCTCTTAAGTGGGGAGCTCTTGTTTAATGAAGAGAATATGTGTTTTGTGACCTCCTTTAGTGAATTTCTTTTTCTTCTGGCTCATAGCTTTGTTTTGAAGAGTTGAAATAACTGTGTACATGACCTTTGATTTGTGGAGTGTTATTTTACCTGTAGTATCTCTTAGATCTATAAATTGCCTGTCTGCGCATAACCTTTTCTTCCTCCTTTATTTGAAAAAGTGATGATCATATTAATTAACATTCCTTAGTTTCTAAAAGGTTGTTCAGTCATTCCATTCATTTGTTCACTATTTAAGAAACTTTTAATAGATGTTGACTGCTGTGTGTTACAATAGATAACAAGGAGACAGAATTGAATGGAATGACTCTTCCTTGAGGACATAAGATTAACAAATGGAGTATCTTACTGTTAAAGAGTGAAAACATTGTCCCATATCTTTCCTCCAAATTGGTAGTGAGATGTAGAGGTTTGATCAGATTCAGTTTCAATTATTTTTATTGCCATTGGGAAGATCAAAGTTTATGCAGCCTATTTATTACTTTTTTCCTGGTGATTTCACTGTTTAAAATGGCCCCCAAGCTTAGGGCTGATGTGCTGCCTAGTGGTCCTAAGCGCAAGAAAGGTGTGATAAGGCTTATGGAAAAAATTCATGTGTTAGATAAGCTGAGTTCAGGCATGAGTATAATGCTGTTGGCTATTAGTGCAATGTTAATGAATCAGAGATATATATTAAGTGTCTCGAAAGAGAAACATACATAAAGCAAAGCTATGTTTCGATTGGTTGGCGAAAATCTTATGACCAGAGGCTGGCAGGAACATAACTCTGTATTTTTCCTGGGAGCAGTGGTTCAGTATTTGCGGTAACTTTATAAAACATAACTGCTGATAAATCAACTGTTTTTTGATTTTCCTGAGATAAAAAAGAACATTCTTTTAAATCAGTATTAAAAGTGTACTACAGAAAGTTGTGGGTAATGGAAGTAGATAGATCATCAAGAGTCTTTGTGAGATCTTTTTGGGGGCAAGTTCATTACTGTACTTCTAGCACCTGGACCTTTTTCTGGTACATGGTAAATAGTAAATATTTATTTAATGAAAATAAGCATTCCAAAAATTCTTTGTTGGCTTGCACTTTAAATTTTGTAGCATTGTTACGATTAGGGTTTGCAGTGTAGATAGTGAGATGACCTGCTTACAGAGGTTGCCATGGTAAATATTTCAGTAATATAAATTTAACCTGACCTCTGCTTGATTTTTGATTCCTGTCATTCTTAAAGATGAAGGTGCTCTTTGCTTCTCTGTGTTTATGTATAATAAATGCTTAGGAGGGTGTGCATTTTCAAATTAAATATTTCTGCTGGGTACAGTGGCTCATGCTTATATCAGCACTTCAGGAGACTGAGGAAGGCAGATTGCATGAACTCAGAAGTTTGAGACCAGCCTGGGCAACATGGGAAAACCTTGTCTCTACAAAAAAATACAAAAATTAGTGTAATGGCATGCATCTATAGGCCCACCTATTTTGAGACATGCTCATGCCATTGCACTCCAGCCTGGTGACAAAGCGAGACCCTGTCTCAAAAAAATAAAATCATAGATAAAATATTTCCTCCCCTTCCAAGTATTGAGACACATGGGCTATGACAAAGGGTATTAGAAATGGGAATGTATATTCACTTGTGAAATTGAGCATAGAAGGCATAAAAAACATTTTGAGGACCTGTGAAATAGTCATGTTGTAGTTACTGGAGAACAGTGAGATCTGAATAATTAGAATATTAATTTAATTAGACTTCCAGTAATATTTATATGTAGGAAATTTAGACTTTAATACGGTTTCCCATTTAATAATTGACTTAATTATAACTGATTATAATATAGTATGTTTTGATGATACTCCTATGCCACAATACAGTAGCTTTTAAACTGTAGAAATACTTGTTGATTACTGACCCAGTGATACATGTACATACATTCATTTAAAGCCTACACATCTTGTTAAACATGACTTACCCTTATTACATATGCGCATTCCATTTTCTGTCCTGTTTGGTACTATTTTATTTAAAAAACTGTTGTCTGAGACTCATTAAATTGATTAAATGGGCCACTAATGGGCCCTGATCCACAGTTTGGAGAACATTGTTCAAACAAAACATGGTTATAATTTTTAAAAGATAGAAATTCCTGGGTCTTAATAGGAACGTACAAAGACATCCCTGAAATCAAGTTTCAAAAATATAAAGTGTTGTAGATGATAGTTTCTAAATCTTTCTGGGATAAAAAAAAATTTCTGTAGTATGTAATTATAGAAATTGATCTCCGTTTTTGACATTACAGTTAATGATTTAGCTTTTAAAAATAAGTGTTTATTCTTTTCTTAGACAGCCACAGTTGAGCTAATGCCAGAAAACCAGTAACTGGGACACTTGCTGCTAATAGAAGCATGTGATGTAATGGCTAGCCATCACATCACAAATATCCTTACTGATTTAAATTTTGGAGAAGACTGAAGACATGATTGTAATATAATTTTTATAGAGACTGAATAAAGCATTTGAAACACTGATGAGTTGTTTCATATACTAAATTAGGAGTTTTTCATTTGAGGTAACAAGGCAGTGGGAAATCAGTGCTGTAATAAGTAACATTTGACTATAGAATTTGATTTTTAAATTTCCAGTTATTATAAATTTATATATGTAAACAATATTGAATAACAGGCTAAAAATGAAAAGAATACCTATAGGAACTTCAGTGCTTAATATTGGTACAGTCTTAGACTACTTTCTCGGTTTTATCTAGTTTGCAGTCTTAAGGAGGTCAGTTGGCTCTGTCAAGTCCTAAATTATTGGGCCATGTGGATGAGAGAATCTGATTTTCTGTTCTATGTTTTGAAGATTTATCAGTGGTCACCAAACCAGAAATATGCTAGTGGCCTACGTTTCTATTCATATAATCAACTATGTCTAATGTTTTCTGTATTTAGCAGCTCATTTTTGTCTTTATTAGTAGATATTACTTTATCAAAATTGTAATTGCGAAAGCAAGTACTTTTTTTTACATTTGTTCATTTATTCTCAAAGATAATTTTTAAAAGCATTCGTTTGAGGAATTCTGCACTTTTTAATGTAGATATTTAAATAAGTTAGTAAACTGAGAATAATTACAGACTGAAATAGAAGTTGTAAATATTTTATTACCATTTATTCACACGTGGTTTCATGCTGCATTAACTAAATGTATGTCTGTTATTTTTAGTAGTAGATGGATTAAGGCTTCAGTTAAAGAGGCAATATCTCTTGTAAAAATTAAAATATAAAGCAGTATAAGTAATTATTTGTGTTACAAAAAATTGTAAGCAGGGCATATTTCTGTGAATCTTCTCTCAGTAGTTTTTATTTTAATGGATGCCTAATTTTTAAGTTTTCAAGATGCATTTTTCCATTCTCTTCCTTGTTATTTTTGAATCTATAGCTTCCATGAGGGAAATTTTCAGTTTCTATCATTGACTGCCTCTGCAGGTATAATATGATACTAAGATTATTGGTAGGACTTTTTAGCAACTGGTGTAATTTTAATGTACACTCTGAATTTTGTAGCCAATTCTATTTCTAATCAATTTTTGTTTTTGCCTGACCACCAGAAAGGGCAAAAATAAATTTGCTTTGAATGGGTACTGAAACTTATGGTATATTAGTATCACATAGTTTCATTTCTAAGATTATTTTACTTCTCTCCTGATTTCTTTATGTAAATCTTTTCTTCATCCTTTTTGTAGGGCCTGTATTACAAACTGCCCTAAATAATTTTTTATGACAAGGTTGGCTTTTAAATAAAGTACAGCTATTACTTAAATTTTTAGGATAGATTGCTTATAAGACTATATAAAGGAATTCAGGGAGAAAATAACAGTATGCTGTTCAGTGGTTCTTAACTTTTTTTTAGGCTCACATAATCTTTTGATATCAAACCTGTTTAAAGCTATGGATTTTCTCTTTAGAAAATTCTCGGGAATTCTATGGATTTCAGGTTAAAGAACTCCACAACTGTGTACACTGTTATTGATGGAGTCTGTTTTCATTAAAAGCAAGCAAACAAAAGCAAAAACTGATTTGTAGAGGCACTTTATACTGTTAAATTTTTTGAAATACTCTTTT